ACCTACCCCGGGTGCAAGCAACCAACAGCCTCCGCCTCCTCCACCTCCACTCTCATACCAACAAACGAGAGACGCAGAGGAGGCGCGTCTTCGCCAATTGATCGTCGATCACAAACGGAACCTCGACGAAGCCCGCGTAGCGAACAACCACGCGAATTTTCGACAAGTGCTAGGTATGGCGAAGGAGGCCCACAAGGAACTCGAGGAGTTCCTTGGGGGTCGTCGTTTCCGATCGAAGGTGGAGCAAGTAGCGGGATACAATCCCTACCAACTCAACCCTCGCACGATGGAGCCATTCGACCATCCGAGAGCTGGACCATCGAGCCAACGTCGCAAACGAGCGAGGGACGACGAGATCGACAAGCTAGCAGAGAGCGCGTCGGATCTCTTGGACATGATCTTAGTAGTGAAACGTTTGAAGAAAGACGACTCAGACCCAGATCCGAAAGGGAAGGGGAAGGACAGAGAGCAGTAAGTATACTGCCACCTCCCATTTCTTCCTTCCATAATCACCCATCAGTTCTGAACACTGACACTCATTTCTCTGGTCCTCCTTTAGATGAAAATTGCTCCAACCTCCTATCCCCTTCTTTGAAGTCTTTAAAACTAGAAGAGGAGGATAGAAGTCAAGGAAACTCTCAAGGGTTGTTCAACCAACCGTATTCAGTTTCAAACTTAAATGATCAAATTTCTTCTTCTTCTGTTATGTCTGTTTCAAACTCTCAACTAGATTTAGATGACCTTATTAGACGAAAAACATATGCAATCTATGAAAAAGTTGAGAACCTAAGCCCAGCCTTGAGTCTATTAACAAACCAAAGTGAGCAAAGTGAGCAAGTGAGACGTAAAGAATTCCAACTACATTGCCAGTTACAAAAAACGTCTTATGATGATGTCATGAGTAAATTTTCAGAACTCAGTAAACAAATTACTGAAGTCAGAGAAATAATTCATAAGTCAAATGAACAAGAAGCTAACAGCATATTTCATGAAGAAATAACAAAAACACTAAATGAGTTAAAAGAACAAATAAGAACATTTGAACATGAACCTAGAGAAAAAGGTAAACAAAAACAAATCACCTCTAGCAACAAAAATGAAAACATACCTGGTACAACTGAGATACAAAGCTCAGAGGTGACACCAATGTATAGTTTGAATAAGACTCAAGCGTTAGTTATGCAAATCAGAGAAATGCTGAATAAAAGACTAGAAGAACCTAGCTTAACAGTCCACTACTACGAGGGTGTGGTGTAGGTTTTTGGCACTTAGGGCTTTTCCCAATAGTTACTACGAGAGGTCTGCTTTGACCCTCTCATATGTACATAGTCAACTAAGGATGTAAACCTCCTTTGGATTATTGTGACCTCCTAGGTAGCTTTTAAACTATAAGTACAAGTTTGTTATAGAACTACTTTGGGGGGTGTGGGGGTGGCCCCAGTAGGGCTACTCGGATATTGGGTTGAGGATATGTACCTCATATTCGAGTAACCCTCTTGGGGCGATCACAACATTCCTTCTTGGGGGCTTCTCATCCCCATAACTCACGGAGGGTAGAACCGTGAGCCTAGTGAAGCCCCACTCCTTCTATCCTACGTGTATATTTTTAAGTTACACTACAAAGGTCAGGAGGATTAGATAAAGGTATTTTCCCACACCCTTCAGTTTATTCGGTTGTATAAGTGAGTCACTATACATTTTGTAATAGATTCAGTACGTAATATATGCACCCATTATATGCCTGTCTTGTATAACAGTCAATCACAAACCTTGAATCTTGTGCTTCGTAAGTTAATTATACAAGTTAGAAATTAAGGTTTCTGTACAATTCAGTAATTTTCAACATCTGTTTGTTCTACGCTCAGCTTATATCTTTTTCTCAGCTCCTTCAATAGGTTCTTAGTTTTCTCCAACTCTTTATCCGAAAACTTCCTAAGGTATATCTTGTAAGCATTAGAGGACCATCGGCCCAATTCTTTTATTTCTTCTCTTCCGGCTCCTAGGTTCCATCTTAAGGATGCTCCTCCGATTCGAAAGGAGTGCCCATGTAAGAGTTGTTTTCTTTTTGAGCGTTTTTCGTTCCATACTTCTCTTAGCTGATTGATGGTATGGCTCTTCCCAATTCTTCTCTTTAGCCCGTTCGATCTACGTATGAATAATTTGTCGGTTGGTTTCCTTGGCCGGAGTCGAAACCATTTCTCTAAGATCGTAATCGGATCGAGTATAGATTTCTGTCTGTGAATTTGGATATATTGGATTTCGCCTGGGGCCGCTGTTTTCGCATTATGTATCGCTATCTTAATCCACGCCTTATCCGACGCCCATTCAACGTCTTGCCACTTCGGTAGTGTTTTCTTTGGGTCATCTGAAATTAGTTCGCCTAATCGGGCTACTCCCCAAAAGGCCACCATCGCGATCGCCAGCATCGCCAGGCCTTCTTCTCCTCTCTTCGGAAGTTCTTCGTATAGAATTACTAGATCTGATATTAGTACTGGTGGTCTTTTCTCTTCAATTTCTTTAAAACTAGCCTCGATTTTTCTGGACGCTTTGAGTAGAGCTTTGATTGCGACCTCAGCTTTATTTGGGTACTCGACCCCGTGAAACGTATGCCATGCTTTGATTCCCGCTAAATAAGTTTTTAGAGTATTAACTTTGACCGATTCATCATCTTTTGCATTTTCAACGTCTTTCTTTGATGCCCAAACTACGAATTCCTTCAATATTTGTTCAGATATTGGTAAGAGCTTTTCTTTTTCTTTATTTTTCAATAACGCGAAACGATGTAGTTTAACAATTCCTGAATTATACCCTTTCAACGTTCCGTCTACCCACGCGCCTTTCAGATAATGCCTCTTCACTCCATCCTCCTCAGTCGAATCTATTCCTATTGCATTTTTTCTAAATGTTCCAAAAGGTTTGAGAATTCTCTTTTCATTTATTTTTAACTGTTGTAGTCTATCTTTCTTGTTAGTCGAGTTTTCTGATGTTCTTTTTCTCATTATGCTTGAGGGTGACCTGTTTTAGGATTCTCGATAGATCGGTTGGGATTACTATTCTAACTTCGTTGAACCAAGTTAATTTATCATCTAGGATACCTCTCAATAGTCCATCGGCATTGTTAGTATTTGTTGTGACACGTTTCGCCACTATGTCGCAGGCTAGATTAGTAAGTAGGCGTTGTATCTTCTTCCATTCTTCGTTTACTAATGTATCCTTTGATTTTCTCTTTTTCACAGTTGATTGTGTGGTTGTATTATCTGTCCATACGACAAATGTTTTACCTAACAAGGTGTAACGATGTTCAGGTTAGCTATTCCTTCTTAGGCTTATTGCTAGTAGATTCGGTGCGTAAAACTCACCTGCTACTTCATTAATTTTGCTTAACACTAGCAACCCAAGCCTTATTGCTACAGTTTCGGCCCATGCGATTGATCGCTTATCGTCTCCCAGTTCAAATGTTTGCCATCCTTTCACAAATTCGAAGGAAGCCCAATATTCCCCTATCAAGACCCCTAGGCCAAAGGATGAGGAAGCATCCCCTACCCACGATATGTCGATTGGTTGTCTTGATGGGATAAGTGGACGCGCGTTAAATTCTCTTAAGCATATCTTCCATTCTAACAGATCTGTCCTTACTGACTCTGGTATTGGTCTTCTTGCTGATTTGTTGATCCAGCTCTTTTGCCACCTATAGAATGATCTCAGGTACGCCATCATATGTGGTACGATATACACTGTATGAACTAATCTACCTAGTAAAGTATCCACCTGTTCATACGACCAGTCCGGGTTATTATCTTGGTCCAGAAATTCGTCAATCTGATCTTTCCTTTCTTTTAATTTATCCTCTGGTAGTCTCACAGTGTGTTCTTTCCCATTCCACACAAATCCTACATACTTCTGTTCAGTTTTGAAATCATGATTTTTCGCTGGATTTGTCAAGACGCCCATAGAGTTACTAAGGAGTGTGATATCATCTAATGTGGTTGGGTGGTCTGGTTTCTTCAAGATTAGGTTATCATCAACCCACCTGAAGATTCGGGGTAGGTTGAATATCTTCTCCATTATCACTTTCCACGCGTTCGCCGGAGCGCCAAAGACTCCACAACAAGCAACTCCTCCAAATCCTACTGCAAGATCTACCCACAGTCTTCCTTCAAAGTCCATAATAATCAAGTATTTCCGTTGACTCGGGTGATTTGGAAGTTGTCTGAAAGCCTTCTTCCAGTCGAAGATTGCAAATACCCATTCTCCCGGGTTCTCAACTAAAAATTTTGCTACCGTGTTAAAATCGTCCCAGTACGTATTGAAATTATTTTTGTCTACAAATGAATTAACTGATGGAATTCCTTCAACATTTTTTGGATATGATAGATCATTTATTAATCGTATTGATCCATCTCCGTTCTCCGAACTCCCCATTGGATTCGACCTAAAGAACCCAAAGCGCTTATGCAATTCTTTGTGAGTGAAGGGTCCTGCTAGTCGACCTGCTTCTCTATCACTTCGTATCGTCTTTTCAATTTGAGATCTTGCTAGCATTGCTGACTTATGATTTGGTGGGGTATACCACGGTCGTCCTTCGATTTTGTGTTGGGGAATGCCTAAGCAATAGCCTTCCTTAAAGCCACCAATGATGTACGGGATTTCTTTTTCCAGACCCGCTTCCTTCATCAATTCACTCCACTCATCAAGATTCATTTTACTCTTTACCGGCGCTGGCCATGTGTCCGTTACAGGCATTGCCAGGATTTTTCTCTCCCATACTGGCTCCGGTTCCGGTCTCTCTGGGTGCCATTCTTCCTCATCACTCGATGAGTTTCCTTCCTCTATGGGTTCGTTATTGCCATTAAATTTATTCTCAGGTCTGTGCTCACGTTCTCGCATCTGGGTAGTTATTATTTTGGGTGTTCTCTCATGGTCACTAGGATCTATAACATTCAAAACCATAGGACAAAGCCATATTATTATTTATTGCTTAAAAACTATTTATTTAAGATTTATTCTTTGGTTCTGAGCGTACCAATCAAGTTACAATTTAGGAGAAAATTCAAATTTGATCAAATTAAACCACCCCGTTCACCATCCAACCATAGATTTTATCATAGTTATCGATTGACATTGATCAACATCCGAGCCAAATGGTATCCCCGTAATATATTTATGCAAAGCAGATAAGTAAAGAAAAACAGGTCAGGATTTTCGTTCAATTATCTCTCCCAAGTTTCAGTCATCAGTTCAAATGACATACCTGTTGTTTCCTCCTGCATTCTTTGCATTATTTCCGCCTCCTGCACCTTTATTGTAGCTCTTGAACTGATCATTGTTTTGATAACTCTGATTCTGACTACTTTCACCATTATTATAGGGCGCAGGAGATTGTTTTACCGGTTGCATCAATTGAGGGTCCATCATTTGGTAGTTTTTCGGGTAAGTTACGTATTGTTGTTGTTGGAATTGATTAAATTGATTAGGGTTGATGGTAGGTGAGTATTGTGCTTTAAAATTTTGGTGATTATTGTGAGTGAAGCCTCTATTATTTTTGAATGAATCGTTAAACCTCTTATTGTTATTTTGAAATTTACGGTTCCCCGCTCTTTTACCCCTAAAAGCGGCAGCACTTCCACCTTGATTACTCGCTTCTACTTGGGTTATCACCTCAATCGTCTTTTGGGAAGTGGACGCGGTCGGTGCATAGCTCGGGTTGGCAATTGCCTGTTTGCCCGATTTAAAGTTAAAGCCGTGTTTTGGGTGATTCGGTGCATAGGGGTTGTCGGTGTACATGAGATCACCCGCTAATTCTGTTTCCCACCTTGCTGTTTCCACCACTTCATCGTCACGACCTTCCGGTAAGTAGACCACATCCTCTTCTATAGTTCTAGGTCTAAAGATGAATGCTCTAATTGCTAAATGATATCTTAACGCTACCATCCAACAGTTGTATTTCCTTTTCAATTCAGTAACTATGACCTTATGGTCATCAATGTAGTCAGCATATTCCGATAAGTTATATAGTTCTCGGGAATATCTCGCTTCTAGGTCACACATTTCAATAAAATCGCCAAATGACAATTGTCGTTCCAGTTCAACTTCGGATGTTTTCAACTTTGGCTTTTTCAGTTTAGGATCTGAACCGGCCGATGTATGAAAAAGGTCCAGATAGGTTCTATCGAAAATCGTTATCGGGACATAGCTTTTCATATCTCTAAACGCTTTACTCCACTTCTTTGGTAAAGGAGGTAAATCGTGTGATTTAGCTTTCTTCTTTTTGAATTTCAATTTCTTCCTTTTCTTTGATGACTTTTCTCGCGATGAGTCACTGTCCTCAGATGAATTGGATGAATCTGTATCCGATTTTGATTCCGAATTTGAGGACGAATTGGGTGGGGAAGAAGGTGGTGTTTTATTTCTCTTTCTTTTCTTTTTCTTCTTCTTATCATTACCGGAATTTTCAGATGAATCTTCCTCAGAGTTTTGTTGTACTGACTTCTTCTCTATCACCTTCCTCTTGGTCTTCTCCGAAGCAGATGATTTACTCGAAGAAGGCTTCGCCGTTGCCTCAGCTCTCTCTACACCTTTTGTTTTTGGAACTGAAATGCCGAATTCTTTGGCTAGTCTCGCCGAGGCTTTCTTGACTTCTTTCGTCGTTCCTTTGTGAACTGCCTGGACTAGTTCTTCAAGGAGGGCATTCTGCCGGTTTTGCTTGTCTTTGCGCTTTTCAGAGGCGGGACCTTCACATCAAAAACACCGAACAGAAGCAGTTCTCTAGTCAGTTTTCTATCCTGCCAACATTAGAGTTATCCAGGTCTGACTTCAGGCGCCATTGGCAGCCGGCGCCTACGGCAGCCTATTCCATGTTATGGAATTTAATACCGCAGTGAGTACATTCATATGTTTAACTCCTGGGATTTCATATATAGCTAAGCTATTTTCCACGTCTATGAGACGGGAGCACCCGGCGCCGCTGGCAGCCATCTGGGGTTCAATAAGGAATGGAAGTAAGACTTACGCGGCATTTTATCAATCAGATTTTCAGTGTCACTCGACCTATCATCCTGTTCAACTTCATCATCTTGTTGGATATTTTCTTTGGTCGGTCTTCTGTTAAACTGGATCTTGATCTTCTTGATCTTCGCCTCGTCATTAACTTGATTGTTTTCTTCTCCTAATCTATCACTTCCATCTTCTTCCTCATCATCATCCTCTCCTTCACCATTCTCTTCGTCCCCATCATCTTCATCTTCCTCTTCCTCAATTATGTTTCTGTCACCCAAAAATTGAAGATCTCCATTTTGGCCATATTGGTCTTCTTCCTCATTTTCTTGATTTTCAGCTAAGAAAGTCGTGTTTTGTCTTTGAGGCATTGTGACTCGTTCGACCGTCGCTCCTCTAGATGCCGCTCTTATTGCTCGCTGTTCCGCTTGGGTTCTTTCTCTTTTGATTTGTTCTTCTTTTCTTTCTTGTGCCTGTTGGGCTGCTAGTTTCGATTGAAAGTTTTTATAAAGTTTGTAAAATTTTCTTCCACTGTGTTCGTGTACCATTCGAGTTATATGCCAATGAAAAAAGAAAAAGAGATAAACAAAATAGGAGTTTTGTAACGAACTCCTAGAGCTGGTTGCGGTCTAGAGGTGGTGGGGATCTGAGTGGTAAGAATGGTGTAAATAATTTTACTCCATTCGTGTAGTACCACTCTGGTCTTCTAACCAGTTCCCCACCGTGCGTTTTGGGGCCAATGTCTCGGGCCCCTCTCGGACCGGCAACCAGTTCCACCCTCTCTTATTGGACTAAGGTATACCGTCACGGGCTTAGGGTATACTTCCATCCTCTCAACAAAACATGATTAAACAAATAACTAATATAGCAGGACAAATTGCTACACGTATAAGTGACAGTGAGAAAAAAGTATCATCAAAAATTAACAATTATGATAAAACATTCCAAGAAACAATAACCAAGATATCTCAAGAAAGAAGAGAGGACAAACAAGTCATCAGAGAAACAAGTGATATACTTGTAAGTGACTTAGCAGAAATACAAATTGCAACCAAACAGATGGACATTAAGTTGGACAAACAATTGAAATTACCAATCAAGGATCCCTACAATAAAATTGAAGAGTTATTCAATAAGTTTGAAAAACACGAAAGTCAAATGAATTTGATGATTAATAACTTGAAAGAAGAAGCAAGAGCAACAAAAATCCACAAAGATTTGAATCAACAACAGCAGCAATTTGAAAGCAGCATGATGAAATCCTACCATGCATTACAAGAAAGCTTGAAAGATAACCACGAACATTTACAAAAAGAATTAGTGAAGCAACAGGGAGAACAATTTAGAGCTTTTGCAGACCAACTGTTGAAAAATCAAGAAATGTTCAATAACAGAATATTACAAAAGAATTGTGAAATACAACAACAATTGTTAAAAATGGATGATAATGCTAACAGCGCCAGATTATCAATTATTCAAGAACTTAAACCTGGAATAATGAGTCACAACAACAACAATCCCACACAAAGGAATTTTGCCAATCCACTGGTAGTACATCAACAAGTGGAGAACAACCATGAAAATAATCCACGAGTAGATCCTTCACTTCGAGGAGAAGCTAGATTTAGACAACACGCAACAAACACAAGAGAAAGTACAGTGAACTATGTAGAACCTCCAACTAGGAATAATGAATTGCAAAATTCACCAGGTCCTGAGAGAACTTTTGCAAGAGAGGATACAAGTCAACCTGTTGAAAGGGCCTTTACCAGAGAAAGAACATTCCCAGTACATGAAAGACCATTTTTAAGGGAAGATACTGCTCAAACAAACATGTCTGAAAACACACGAGAAGACAAGTTAACCAAAGCTTTAACTAAACTTTGGCCAACTGGCAGAGATTGGAAAAGATTTAGTGGTGACGGAGAATACAATCATAATGATTATATTGATTGGTGTGACAGCTTGATCACAGACCTAAAGATGGACCCACTTGAGTACAGCCTTCACTGGAACAGCAGGACAGTGGTACATAGACAAGCGTAAAAGCAAAGGCTCAATGACATGGGATGAGTGGAAAGATGAAATCCATAAGAGGTTTGGTAATAATGTTTGGAGAAACAATATGGAAGATTTGTTCTTGAAAGACAAATTTGACGCCAATGTACATGCAGATCCAACAGCATGGTCTTTGAAACAAAAGAAAAGAATTGCAGCTTTTGATCCAGAATCTTCTCAGGAAAGAATTGTAAACAAAATCTTAAACAAAGTTGATGGTGATGTCAGAACTGCAATCAAAAGTCAATTGACCACACCCTATGAATGGGATAATTTCTTACTAATATTCAAAGACATTTATGAGAATACAAGTATAATTAATAAGAGAAAGTACTTGAACAGACCAAGGAAACCTTTTAGTGAAATTAAAGCTACTTTCAATAGTGATAGAATACAAGGTCCCTCTAGTACAAAGGTTCAACCAAGTACGTCGGAGAAAAAACCTTTGAGAGCATGCCCAAATTGTGGAAACAAAGATCCAAAACATCAATGGAGAGGATGTAAAGATAAAAAAATTAATATGATTGAAGAAGATGAAGAAGATAGTGATCATATGAATGATGAGTATGAATTTCAAGGCGGAAAATTATCAGATGAATCAACTTCAGATAGTGAAGGAGAAAATATTCATCAGCAACAAGATGTGTGCATGATTGAGACTCTTGAAAGTGATGAGAAAGACATCAACATACTGCAAGCAGAAGCAAATGTACCTCATTCCTGGCAGGATGACATGCAAATGGGAAACACAATTGATGCCAGATTGCTAAAATCCAAACCAGCAGACGGAATGGCACATACACTAGGACACCATACAATGGCTTGAGTATTAGTAAATAATTGTAAAGTACCAATGCTACTAGACAGTGGAGCATCATGCTCAATTGTAGGAAAACATTTTTTGTCTGAAATAATACCAGACTGGCAAGAAAGAATCGTGCCCAGTAGTCACGTGAAATTCTCCGGAGTTGGTAGTAAACTGCATGCTTTAGGCGTAATCAGCTTACCTGTGATATTCCCACATGTTAAACAATCAATTAGAATAAATGCTGAATTTGTAGTAATGGAGAACGCAAACAACAGGTACTTCATATTGGGAGCAGAAAACTTGAGCCAATATGGGTTTGATATATTTCATAGTAAAGAAAGGTATTTTACTATAGGAAATAGTAACAAAAGCGTTAAATTTGCTTTAATGCAGCATAAAGAAATTTTATCAATTAAACCAGAGGTTACAATGGAATCTCCAACAAATGAAAATATAAAACAACTTAGAGAAAAAATATTGGAAGCTGAGTTTGGACCCAATCTTACTCACAGTCAAAAAGAAGATATAATTCAGATGGTAATTAAGTACAAAGATCAATTTGGTTTAGGGAAACAACCTCTAGGAGTCATTAAAAACCATCCAGTTAAAATAGAACTTACAATAGATAAACCTTACCCTCCTATTTTAAGGAAAGGCGCATACCCAGCTAGCCCAAGAAGTAGGAAGGAAATAGAAAAAAATATTGAAGAACTACTTAGTATGGGCGTAATACGAAAAGTAGGTAGTGATGAAGAAGTTGATATAACATCACCTGTTCTGATAGCATGGCATAATGATAAACTAGCAGCTCAGCGGCGGGCGCCGCGTCCCAGGTGTCAACCTTGGTTTGACAGTTTCAAATTTGAAAGAGGTATCAGATGGATGATACTTGAAAGAGTTGATTCTGAGCAACACCTTGAAGCAATATGATCTGTTGAGCAGCATTTTATGCACGCAAATTGAAAACAATGAGTGGTCATTGTACCTTAGAATCAGCCAAAAACAAAAGAGCTGATTCACTCCAAGCAATTGAGGAAGTCATGAGATTGTTTACTGTATTTGACTGACAAAAGTCTGAGACAATGTACAGATTGCTTCCATCATAATCAATTGCAAGATCAATTTGACACAGGGAAACTGAGTTCATAATCTGACGTGCAAAACTCCTGAAACTCTTGCCTTGGATGGTTGAATGACTTTGAGAATCTACCAACAATGGATAATTTTATGCAGCATTAAGTCTTTCTGTGTTTTGATATGTTTCTACTTTCACATCAACAGCTCTAATGGTGTGTAGAAAAATCAATTTCAAAAACTAAAAACATAGATATCTGAATCTTTTACTGGACCTGCTTACACAACACTTGATTCATATTCAGATTTTCTGCCTTCATCGTGTGTAGAACCATCAGTGTTTCCATTCATTCCTCAGCTCAATATTCCAATTAACCTCAATCAAGTGATCATAAATAGCCAATTATTCCATGTCTAGAGGAGCATACAGAGAGAAACAGATTCAGCAGGTAAGTACATCACTTTGGGGAGACATGAGATTCTAAAACTCTTCCTTACCCAAGGTAACAACTGTTTAAGTTTTCAAGTCAAATGAATTGTTTCATTATAAAATATCAATTGACGTGACATAATGACTTTTAAGATTTTTTGCACATTTCATGTCTTTCTGACTTGGTTTCAATCAAAATGAAATATCAAGTTGAAGTGTATGGAGGCAATAAAATCAGTTATATCTTATTGGGATGATATTCTGAATTACAAACAGGAATCAAAAAGCTCTGAAGAATCTTGAAAATCAAATTGATGTCAGGTTTTTCATTTGAAACAGTTTGAAGGATCTAGGTAGGTGAACTATTTTTGATGTGTTTTAGATTGATTTTTTACAAACATTGTGACAAAACAAACAAAATGATGTCTTCTTGAAATCAAACTACATATCCAAGGGCTGAAAAGGCTATTTGAGGAGGATTTCTTACATATTTTCAAAAGTTGATAAACTCTGCCAAACTTTACCAAAGAAAAAACCCAATATTCATACATAGAAACCAATTGTAATTAAGATTATGTTCAATTGTTTACAACACACAGGTTTTCTCAAAACAGTACAAACTGCATCTTTATTCAACCCATTCCCATCAATTCTCTACCCTTCCCTCATAATTTGATGATCCTTGATTTTTTCTCCATCAAGACAAACTTCACAAACTTTGTTACCATTCCATTTTTTGTCACTTGATTATATAGACTATTTTCCAAAGATAAAAGTTTGTTAGCTTTGAATAATCTTTTCCAACCAATTTCACAAACCTTCAACTTTCCTTTTGTTGTAACAACCCAACAATCTTCAAAATCAGACTTTAATTGATGACCTTCACTTGAAGTTATAGACCTAATTCCAATCTGGTTTAAAATAGGTTCATTCAAGTTTAAATTTGATCATTCTTGACTGATTGTCAAATACAATTTTGGTTTCCTTTTATGAGTTTGGATAACAAATCAATCCACAGCTTTCATTCAATCCAGTTTCTTCAATTATTTCATTCATTTTCCATAAAATCCTAAAGATGAAGTTTTTTCTCAATTTCATTTCATCAAGAAATACAACCTAAAACTAAACCAAAAAAGAAT